TCGCATCGGAATGTGGCAAACAGCAAACATGAAGAGTGCCGTGATGTGACTACATTTCCTCTCCTACCAAAATCAGCTATCACGATCCTTAGCATTTTGAGACATAGCCATATTATGAGGGCTCCCAGCAAGCTTTCCAGCGTTTAGTGGGGGTTTCCATTTAAGCGACTAGCAGTTAAACTTTTAGCGGGGGATCTGAGGACAGCCCAGATATTCAAAGCAGGTTGTTGGGGGACGGATGTCCCTATTCCCTCATGAGCAAGCCTTTTGCGGGAAAGTCCTGGGTTGATTCACGGCAGAGATGTAAGGAGTTTGTTGGACTATTGGCAGCATATTTTGGAGCTCAAGCCGCTGCTATTTCTATGATCCTGCAAGACACAAGCTCGAGCAGTAGCCCAAGCATGACTCCAGAATGACTCCAGAACTTCCCCCAAAAGCCTGCTTTTCCCCAAGGCCGCCCTCCCCCAGCAGCCAAGGCGCTATAGCCATCGCTGTTGATGCGCTGGGGTAGTTTGCCAACCGGCAGGTCCAACCAGCCCGCGGCCGCAGCCTCCAAGGTGCCCTTTCGGGTGGACGTGCCTTGCTTGGGTGTTCAGGCTTCAGGCATGGAAGCGGATTCCGCAAAGTCAAGTTTGCAGATCATAATCGAAGCGAGGATTGGGATCCTCGCATGCCATTCTGCCTACCTGAGGGTCTTCCAGGCTAATCGTTCGGTGTATGGCGGGAGGTTCCGTTGACAGCCCCAGGACGAATCAATGTTTCGCTTGGAACTTGCCTGGCAGCGCTCGGTCCGCGAGCCTGTGTCAAAACGCAACTTCCAGGTATTTTCAGGGGGAGGGTCGTAGTTGAAACCAAGTGGAAGGCCCTGGATTGCGCCAGGTTTATTGGCAGCCCGAAAGCGCCAGCTAGCTATAGCTTCAGCCAAGCTCCCAGCATGCGACACGTGCAGGGCAGAGAACGACCAAGGTAGCCAAAGTTTATAAAGAGTGATTCGGATAGGAGTGATTCTCCAGAGGAAGACATTCCGATATTGATTTGTTTTGATATGACCCAAACGTTATATACATAGCTCAACAGAAGGCTTTCTGGAGCCATCAACCCGAATGTTGGGTTGTGTCGGCAATATCAGGCCGGTCTTTGATTTGCCCTTCGGTAAAGAACAGCAACGTCAATGACTGTGCACATTTGAAAGCCGCCAGTGTGGGCCGAATGCCTGAAATTAAGCAAGTTGCATACCATGACTGTCTCTATTTTCCTTGTGCGCGCGTTTAAAGACCAAGACCAGCGTTCTTATATTGTTACAAATTGGGGCGAGTGCTGTTTGCTCGCAAGTGCAGGCTGCATGGTCTATGTTATGAAACGCTTGCAATGCACGTCAGAAGCGTGAGTTGTTTGTGCTTCGTTTGCCAGTCTTACTGTTGACGTGTTCAGCCTTGACATTCTCATGAACTTGCTTTGCTGTGACAAAGCCATCTTCATTGACACCCGCGACCCGCGAGGAGCACTCTTTGATTGTACCAGTCGGAGTGCAGGTTGATCCCGACTTTGCCATCACGTGCTGCTCCTTCTGCACGCCAAGACCATTTTCTGCACAGCGGCCGCTGGGCGCATCCAAGGCCCTCCCACTGCCTCCTTCTCCTCAATGGTTGGCTGTGGCGCGCCGGAGCGCAAAGCCAAGGGGCCCGGGGCCAAACTGATGAGCATGTTCAGCTGACCTTAGCATTCAACCCAGCTGTTTGGAGACATGACTCGCTGTTGAGCTGTTCTATCAGCAACAGATGTGTGTCAGAATGCCTCGAAGCATTTGTTTGTGTGCGCGTGCTATCGCATGTGAATGACCATTATTTGAGATTGCTTGAGGCTTCCTGACCACTCGGGCACATCATTTTCTACCTGGTTTCAAGACCATCCGCATTGTGGCCACTGATAGTGGCTGTTTTTGCTCATGATGAGCAGAAGGCTATGTGCAAGAAGGTGTCCAGAACGCATGTTGCGAGTGGCACAAATTCAGTCGGTGGCCCAATTCGCGCAGCTTTCTGGTTTGAAATCGATGCCAACGCAACGATGTTGCCAATGATCAATTGGTTGCATCCAACACAGCTTGTTCGTACTGGTGCTGTTCATCTCAGAACAGCTGGGCACATCAGCAGGTTTTGAACACCGCACATGACAAGCCCTGCTCACAAAACTAAGCGCACTGTGTTTGTCTTCTTTGCAGGGAACAATTTTGTAACCATGAATTTGCTCATCCCGCAATGCTCTAACGTTTCTCCGGCAGTGTCCGTGCCACAAGTCCGCGACGATACAGATCAAACGACACATGCAGTTGGCAGCAATGTCAAATCAACATGCCGAAGAAAGGCTTCACCGAGTGCTACTTGCCTTGCGACCCAGAATGACTGTACACAGAACCAGGCCTTGCAACATATATATGCTGGCTGAAGCAACCACCTGCATTGACGGTTATTGCGAGTTGTCAATGTCTGCTGTCCGCAATTGCTTGTACCATGCGTGGGGAAGACAGGATGGCTCTCATGCTAACGCGGTAACTATTCTGAACCACAGCACCCTCGGCTTAGCCGCAAGCAACAGTTAGTATTAGTATATGTATACATGCAATGGCCTGCGCTTTCGCACTCGAACATTTGCACGGCTGACCAATCCCTTTCTCAAGGTGTGGACTTGTGCCTTCTCCGTATTCATCCGAAGGGGTCTTTCTCAAGCTCATGGAGCCCAATGCTTTCGCTACCAAAAGGGGCCTCACCTGTTTTGTCAACCCTCTCAACCCCCTCCCCCCCCCCCCGGAACAAACAAAATAAATAAACATCTGCTGGCCAGCACCCGGCTGGGGCCTCGAGGCCCGCTCCCTTGCAGCCTTCGCGTGGATCCTTTGGCACCGACAGGCGGAGCACTGGGGCGCGGCATTTGTGACATGACCAGACTCGGGTTGGGGTGGGGAGGCCAAACAGAACCAACAGCTGTCAGATTGGAGTTGCTCAGGATGTCTCCTCTCGGTCTCGACTCGATCTTCTGGGCCTGGAAACTGCTATCAATTAGGGGGGCATGCGTTGGTGTGCATTGATCGTTTGAGCACTTCGAATTGTGTTTGAGGCAAATGGTGCTTGCTCGCCAGGTCTGACTGCATTCAACATTTCTAAGCCCTGCGTGTCAGACCCATGTCAGAAACCACGGATTGAGTCAAGCGCCTCCAGCGCTATGCTCCCATACCTCCTTTTGGCAACACGTAGCTAATTGGTATGCCGGCCACACCCATCTTTGTGCAGCTACTTGGAAAGCCGGTTGGGCCCTGTAGCCAGAAGACCGCAATTTGTTAGATAAGCATGCTCCCGCAGCCGAGATGATTTGTGCGCTGAGCACGAAATGCTTGAAACATAAACGAGGATCCTGGCGAAGCGCTATGGGAGCCCACCTGAAGTTGACTAAGCGAGTTTCATGTCTCAGGCTTGATTGGATTCGGCTTTGCGCCAGGACCAGCGTGCAGGAGAGGGGCAATGCTTGTGGCGGGAACTGTGTCGGGAGTTGGGCAGCTACTGCAATTGGTTTTCGTTTTGCATGACAGATCCGGTCCAGGAAATCGTTTGTTCATGAATGTATGTTTCAGAGAAAGCATCGCTTTGCGGACATTTGCTTTATTCTTCTGACGGATGCGGAGACCCGGCTACAGTTGGAAGTTGCGCTGGCGCAGGGCAATTCTCAGAGTTTTTGGTTTGCTGCTTGTCCTGTAGGCCCTGTGTCCTGTGGCATTCCAGGGTGGGCCATGGTGGGCCTTGCTGCGATGGGAAGCCTTGGGAGTGACCCTGAAACCTTTGGACTGAAGGCGTGGCTCGAAGGGCCGGAGACTGGGCACAGGAATCAAGCCAAACGAGAGCCAAAGACCTCAGCCAGCCTCATACGCCAAACATCGTTTGGATGTTAAAGGCATAGTGGCAAACATAGCATTTGCAAATCTGCGCCAGTCCTGTGGCTAGAATGCTCAGGGCACATCATGCCCACTTGGTGGAGCTGACGGCAGCTGATGGCTACCCCGAAGCTCTACGACATATTTGTGGCAGGCTATGACTTGCTGAAGATCGGAGGTACCAGTTTCTTTCACACCTCAGCCGTTGTTTGCCCTCCTGGTGCTAGAGTGAGCCACGATGAGCTGCAAGACGGCTACTTGCATGAATCTGTGAGCCGGGACTCCACATACAGCTTTCAGTATTTGGGAGTTGATCAAAAGGTCCTGGTAAGGACTTATACTGCGGAGGACCATAGCAGCGCGGCGTTTGTCCCCGCAAAAGATCCGCGAAGGAGTCTGCAACAGATATGTTTGTTTTCGCGAAAGATCTAGCGAAAGCTTCCTGGAGGCATGTTTGTACGCTTACGTACTTGCAGACCCCACTGCCTTGCAGACAAGAAGATGCACAGCACCTTTGCTTGTGTCCTTGCTTCTCTGCCTGTGCTGGGAATGGTGCACAGCAAAACGTTGGCTGCGCTGTTTCGGAGCAAGTTTCGCGAAAGATAAACGAAAGACTGGTGAAAGCTCATGGATCTTGTCCGCACATTGGGCCCATGGCAGAGCAGTCACGGCAAAAGCACCTGGACAGGGCGGATGGTAGTGACTGCTATCACTTCACGTCGCTGCAAGCCTGCCAGTGCAAGTGAACGGCGTGGTTACACTGGGTTTGTAAGCTCCGCTGCAGCTACAACAGGCGCACACTGCAAACAAAAGGGCGTGGCGATGGAGTCGCAAAAGATTCGCGGAATATATTTTCTCGTGAAGAAGGAAGCAGGAATTGTGATCTGCCGCCATTTGCTTGAAGAACTTGGGAAGCCACACGCTTACAAGTTTGCCAGGAAGCCTGGGCTGTCCTGAAGACCGAACCCGATGTCACCAATGACTTGAAAAGCGCCGGTGGCAGAGCAGTCAGCCAAACACCCATAAGCGCATCATGTTGATATGTTGGACATTCCGGAATAGCACCTTCTAGTTGGGCTACATGTCACGCCTCCTTGCGTGTTCCACCTGGGCTGAGGTGACACCTTGCATTCGGACTTAGTGCACGACGGCTGTGAGGAGCTCATCTTCGACCGCCGCGAGAAGGGCATATGGCTGAACAAGGACTGCTGGCCGTTCCCAGGTGTCTTGTTGCAGCCCCCGTAAAGAACCAAGGAGCGCTTTCAAAGGCGGAAGTGTCCTCTGATTCGTTGGGTTGCACGCCCCGCTTTTTGGAAGAACCCATGCTGCTCTGGTGGATCTCTGGCTGCAAACCTCAGAGCAACGAGCCAGATGGCGGGAGCAACGCTTGTCGACAGGCGCTGGCGCATGCCGTGTCTTGACTTTCCGAACGGCCACCAGGACCTGGGCCACTGGTCCCTTCCCGGCATCGTGCGCTGGCGCTACGCCGGTGCTGCCAAGCTGTTGGGCGAAACGCCGCAGGCAGCTGCGGACCAGCTGAGGAGAGCCCTTGGGGTTGGTTGTTCAGAAGGCCAGAGATTTGCAAAGTGAAATGACGACAATACCTAAGAAGCAGTGTGATTTGCAACAGTTGTTGGCAAACGAACTACGATGGCCTTTCAGGATCGGAACTAGGCATTGTTTGCAAAAAATGAAGGGTCTTGGCTTTGCCCGCAACTTGCTCCGCTTTCCGCCCAGCTTGGCACTTTTTGAGCTGCCGCTTTGCCGTTTTATTGCACAGGACGTGGGCAGCAAGCAAGGATGCTGGTCACTTCGATGTCGGAAACTTGGCATGCACAAAAAGCATTGAGCGCGCGGCAGCGACAAGGAAGACAGAGAGAGAAGGAAGGAAAGAATGGGGAAAAAAGAAGAAGAAAAAGAAGGAAACAAAGGAAGGAACAAGCATAAATTGATAACAAAGATAAAGAAGACAACGAAGGAAAGAAACAAAAGCAATAAATAAGGAACGAAGAAAATAACAACATGAAGAGAAAGAGAGAAAACAAGAAACCCAAAAAGCAAGAGAGAAAAAGAGAAAGACAATAAGAAAGGAAGGAAGAAATAAAGGAGGCAGGAAGGAAGGAAGGAAGGAAGGAAGGAAGGAAGGAAGGAAGGAAGAAAGGAATGAAGGAAGGAAGAAACAAAACAAGCCATATGACCTAATATGGTAACGACGGACATAAGGAATGAAAGGAAGGAAAGATCATTTAATAAAGATGACAAACACAATAAGAAAAAACAACAAGGAACATAAACAAGATAAAGAAAGAACACTACAGTATAGTTCTCATAGTTTGAAGGTTCCGCCCAGCGGCTTCGCCGGCTCTGGTACATGATACACAATATATTTTACATAGCAATGTTTTTCGGTACCTCAGGAGCAACAGAAGAACTGACATGGTTGGTATTAATCTGGCACACGCATAACCAGTGGTTAGGTTTGTGGCACATGAGCCTTGCACAGTTTCAACTTTGTGCATGCATTGTTGTTTGCATATTTCTTGGGCGCAACGACCTCTTCAGGCGATTTGATTATTCCGGCGACTGTTGTCCCTATCCTCCTGCCACGAGCACTCTTTGGTAACTTATTGGCTTTGGTTGCTCAAAACCCGATAGCAATCACCTGCATGATGGACGACTGTAAATCGAGCATGTTTGTTTGTGACATTTGTTTTTAGCAAAATGACACATACATAACATGAGCACCACACGGGCCGTATATGTCAACGTATATGTATTCCATTCCACACGGGTGTTGATCTTTTGTGTGGACGACACACTGGCGACTCACACATTTGTTGTGCTTATTTATGTTAATGACTCACGTTGTCGGAATCTATTCCTGCAGCACCGCGCAAGAGTCTGTCCTCTTCCCAATTACCAGTCTCCGACATAAGCCCTTGTCCTGGAAGTGAAGAGTGTACCACGCCGTTTGCAGTTTGTTTCATACTGACGGATCCTTACTTAAGTGCCAGTTTCCTCTATGCCATGGCACAAATTTGCAATGGGCAAACTCGACCGGATTCTCAAATCGCGGCCTGGCCAAGGAACTTATCATATCTTCGACCACAACTGCAATCACTTCACAGCTGCCCTTCTTGGCAAAGCGGGCTTCAACTCGCAGAAGGTCCTTGGCTGCGGGCCCTTCCACAGCAACGACACACCGTGCCTTGCGCCGGAGAATGCCAACCTCAGCCCAGAAGGTGTCCAGCGAATGGCGAAGTTCCTGTGATGGCGACAAAGCAGCGCCCGCAGAGCCTTACGACACAGAAAGAGAAGTAGAACATGCAGAGTGTGCTTCCAGGCATCCTTTCTTTTGCATGTCGTTTGCAGATGCATCGGGGTTACCCAACAAAAGATATGTAAGGCCGCCATTCTGACTTTTTACCGGATGCCCCCCACGATAGACAATGAGGTGGCTCGGTCCCTGGTGTAGGTGTTCAGTGTGCCTGACTGCGTTGGAATATTTTGACAGGAACATGTGAACATGTTAGTTGAGCTAACCTTTTTCATGTTCAATGTGCACAGAATGCATATACATATATTACATATATTGCATATATACACACGTCTCTGTGTTGCTTGCGCAGACAGTACACACCGCATCATTATTTAGTTGTGGTGGCCTCCCGGATGAGCCACGTTGAGTTGTAACGTGTGTGGAAACGGGGCATTGACCGTCCTTGGATTTCCTTTCGCACATTTGGCGAACAAGTTGTTGGTTGCGCAACCGGTGACTCCCAAACATGAGCAATATGGGCCAGCGCAATGGGAACCTCTAGTAACAATGGCGGCCTTACAGAGCATTTGTTTGTAGCTAATTTAATGTCATGAGGGCCCAATGAAGAGGGTGAACAACTAATGCAGTGGAATCAGGCAAACCAATGGATGACTTGAGCGCTGCTCGATTGACTTTTGGGGGCGTGGGTCTGTGTCAAAATAAGAGCACTGCTAAAATGGGTGGTTCCCTGTTGATCTCCCTTTTAATTAATCTTAGAAGGGTGCGCTGGAAAAGTACAGACGTATTTGGGCCGGAGAGATTGGAGAGGAGGTGGACTTCAGCATGCCCAGCTCCGACTTGGAGGGTTTGCTGCGGTGCCCCCAGCCCCCCGAATCTCTGAACTGTGGAGCCGAGGCGGGTCTCTGTGCCTGTGGCCTTCCCTATATTCGGCACTTGTTTGCTATGGATGTTTGTTGGAGCCTTCCACTGTTCATGAGCCACACTGCCACACTGTTTGATGATTTATACATGGACGAGGTATGCCGCTTGTCATACCTCACCGCTGTCAGCTAAGCCTTTAAGGCACTGGTTCCACGCTTTGGGAAGTTCAGATGAAGCTTCAAGTCTTCATGCTCGGTCAAGCGTCGCGTGCGAGAAAGCGGGCCTGTAAAGGGCATTGATTGGGGCAAGGCAGAGCGCGTCAGCGTTGAACGCATGCTCGCAGGTATCTGCGTGGACTTCGGCAACAAGGCCTGAGATTTACAGAGGCGCGGAAGGGACTACTCTGGGCTATCCAGGCTTCGATGCGCATGTGTACGTCAAGTTGGAATAACAGTGCTTTGCTTTCTTGACTGTCTTGTTCCATTAATCAGTTCCCAGGGAAAGGGGCAGGGAGCATGGCAAAGCTCAAGGTGTCCGTTTGACCAGCGCTGCCAATCCGAGCGTCTTTCCCCACGTGACGCTTCGGAAGGGCATCCCAGTACTCGTTGCCAGCACTTCTTGGGCCGAATGGACCGAATGTTTTTTTTAGGCAACTCGCAAGAATCCACTCATCCCCACGCACTCGGATCTCGAGGCGACCTACGCCGTGAACTCCTGGAAGCTGCCGGGATCCTCATCCGCCAGTTGGATATGGCATTTGACCAGAGATTTGTACGGTTGGGTGCGGCTTTATGTTTGGTTGTCTTGGGTTTTGCAGGCTTCTGAGCTTATTGGAATGGCAAAGATGGTGTTTGTGAAATTTGATCACTCATTGCTGTCATTCATAGGGCGTGCACCCGTCAAAGAGCGTCAGAACCTTCGTCCTTGGCCCCTTGCCCCAAAAGGGTGTGCAGTTCTTCGGGGCGAGCGCGCGGCCTAGCGAGGTATGGCTTCATCCCGCTGCGGCACCACGGCTTCATCCTCTTCACGGAGGTGCGTGTTGGGCGTATGGCCTGATAGCACGACTTTCTGATTCCAGTCATTCCACTTTCCGATTTCGGGGGTTTCGAAAGCTGGAGAGATCTGGAGAGTCCCGATGCTTGATGTCACCTGATCACTGCCGGTTTCAGATTGCCGGTTTGACCCAATCCAATGTTTTCTGGGGCCATGGGGTTGGCAGCGTTCTTGTGGCCCGCCACCATGCCTCACCCGAGGGTTTCAGGCCACAGAATTGAATCAGGAGAGTATGTCACGGACGGCCATGGGAATTGCCACTTTTCAGTGTAACTGGTGTTTGACACACGGCAACCAATTTTGTTGACGGAGGGGGAAAGAAATAAAGAAATAAAGAAAGAAAGAAAGAGAGAAAGAGAGAGAGAGAGCGAGAGAGAGAGAGCGAGAGAGAGAGAGGAGAGAAGAGAGACAGAGCAAGGTTCAGGCTTGCTGCAAGTCAGCAGCCAAACAACAAGTGATCCATCAAAGTGCCGGATTAAACCCTAGTCCGAGCCAACCCTACCGAAGTCTACCCTCCCCTTCTCCAAGCAATTCATCCAAATGCAGTCAAAGCAGACCTATCCCAGCCCAGCAACGAAACAAGCAGGCAGGTCAGGCAGGAACCAAGCGGACACAAGGGCCCTCGCTTCATGGATACTTTCGTTGTGGCCCAAGCCAGGCTGTGCTTGCGGCCGGACCATTGTCGGAATTTAGTCAAGGCATGGACAACGACAGAATACAGCTTGCATCCAACTGGTTTGAATGCGGAAGATGCTTGCTCTTGGCACCAGTCGCGTCGTGAACTAGACGTTAGCCATGGGAGAGTGGAACGAGCACGATCACTGCCATGCAAGGCTGGATTGTTGCCGAGCAGCACGGATTGGTTGGATTTCTTGAACCGCGCTTTGCAGACATGCTTGACTAGCAGTGACTTAGTAGTGGAGTCTTGCAGTATTGAGGAATTCCTAGCTAGTGATGGCGATGGGGTCTAGGCTGACAGTCCTTTCGTCTCTTGCTGGCACGCATTGGGGAGTCCATGGTACTGCAGCTTTTCAGTGGAGCCAAGAATCCCAGCAGAAGTCCAAATTGCCAAGAGCAACATCGAGCTTGATGCCAATATGCTGAAGGACTTAGGGCAACTCTAAGCAAGCGTCTCTTCGTAGAGAAATTCATGCGGTGGCCTCCTTGGCGCGGAACAGACAATTTGGGAAATCGATTAGCAATGGGCTGAATGTTTGAAGGTCAGAGATGAGTGTTGCAATGAACGTACACAGTCATCTCAGTTTCCGGCTTTGGGTTCCGTTGCGGAGCGCACTCTGCCACTCCACTTGGCAGGAAGGGAACTGTGCAGTCGCTGCACCATTTCATCAAGCGTGCCTCCCGGACGAAACCCATTCCCGAGGAAGACGAGGGTGCCGGCCTGCACAAATGCTTGCGGCGGCTCGGACTGGAGCCCGGGAAATTGATTGAATGCTTGCTTGCTTGCTTGCTTGCTTGCTTGCTTGCTTGCTTGCTTGCTTGCTTACGCCCAACAGCTTGACGAAGAGTAAGGTGTTTCGGATGCCAAGGACTAAAGACGTGGTGGGCTTTGGCTTGGGTGTGACTGTGGGCGCGGGGGTCTTCATGGCTACGGGAAAGGCCGCCCAAGAGGCTGGCCCCGTGACGCGGCGTGAATTGAGCCGCAATGCACCGGAGCTGATCAAACGGCTGGTAGCGGGCCGTTATCCAAGGTTGCGGCGAATCATCTCTGCTTCCAGAAACATAAAGTCCAACCACGGCTAAACTCCAGTCAGTTATTAAACGCACGCTACATGTCGACCCTTGAAGACTGGCGAGTAGACGAAGTTTGAGAGGCCCAGGGAAATCTGATGCGTTGTCCTTTCAATAGGCCTGAGTGTGCGCCGCTCAGGCGACGAGCGTTGCGCCAAACGCAGAGTCAAAGCTAAAGCAGGTGAACACTGTGGCCTTCCACCAATCCATGCCGCACGCATCCAGCCGCACAAAACAAGGCACATTTTGTTGAGAGTTCGGAAGCCTTCAGGCTACTGCGTGATGGTTGCTTTGGGCAGCTACAGTTTTAGTTTCCACGAGATGGATCAGGGTTCCAGCACATGGGCCAAGTGAGATGGTTGTCCAGAGCAGGCTCAGAACATGTTCCATCATTTTGATACACACACACAGACACACACACACACACACACACACACACACACACACACACACACACACACACACACACACACACACACACACACACACACACACACACACACACACACACACACACACACACACACACACACACACACACACACACACACACACACACACACACACACACACACACACACACACACACACACACACACACACACACACACACACACACACACACACACACACACACACACACACACACACACACACACACACACACACACACACACACACACACACACACACACACACACACACACACACACACACACACACACACACACACACACACACACACACACACACACACACACACACACACACACACACACACACACACACACACACACACACACACACACACACACACACACACACACACACACACACACACACACACACACACACACACACACACACACACACACACACACACACACACACACACACACACACACACACACACACACACACACACACACACACACACACACACACACACACACACACACACACACACACACACACACACACACACACACACACACACACACACACACACACACACACACACACACACACACACACACACACACACACACACACACACACACACACACACACACACACACACACACACACACACACACACACACACACACACACACACACACACACACACACACACACACACACACACACACACACACTCACACACACACACACACACACACACACACACACACACACACACACACACACACACACACACACACACACACACACACACACACACACACACACACACACACAGACACAAACAGACACACAGACAAACACACACGGGCACAAACACAGACACAAACACACAGAGACACACACTGAGACACACACACGCACAGAGACACCTCACACAGAGACGCACACGCACACACAGGCACAGACACGTACGCACCCACCCACGCATGCCCGCCCGGATGTGCACACGCACACACGCACATACGCACACGCGCACACGCACACACGTATGGTCACACACGGACATGCGCACGCCCGCACCCCTTCACTCCTGCCCGCACCCCTGCATGCCCGCAGCCACAAACAAGCACGCAAACGCACACGCACGCGTCCCTCACCCTTACCCACACACACACACCCTAGACGGCCATGCACTTGGACTGCAGTTGTGCCAAACCCGAGGCCGTGTCTATCGCCTTCCTCATTGCGGCATTTGGTTGCAGCTGTACAGGACCATTGGATGGGCAGAAAGTGCGGCTGCACGTGCCATTCCTTCTGACTGCTCTTGGCAGTCTTGGAACCATCCGAGCATCTGCCTTATTGTAACCTCTTTGTTCATCGAATCCGATCGCTTCCTTGTGTGTGGGAAATGGTGTCTTGCAGGCCTTTTCTGCCTTGGGCCCTTGAGCGAGCGGGAGTTGGCCAGGTTGTGCTTGCACATTGCCCTTCGATACACTGACATGAATTTAGGGCCTGTGGCTTGAGCACTCTTGGCTGGCCTCAAGGGAACCACCTCGAAAGGCCTGTTGCCCACCACGGCATTTGCTTGCGAGCCAGATTCAGAGCAGAGCCCATGTGGCCAGTGCTTGCTGTGTGCAGTGAAACTATGCAAAACTGCAACAACATTCGCAAAGATTCTTCTGGTCTCAGGGTTCGCTAGACCAATCCCGCGGGTTTGCATAACACTGGTTGTATTTGCATCCCTGTTTTTCCAATTGTGAATGTGCCTTGACAAGCATTCGCAAGCGCCTGTCAAGTCCGCCAACGCTTGGAAAGACTTGCCAATTGAGCAGCGCTTTTTTCTCAGATGATGGATTTTAGCTTCGTGGGGAACTCCCAAAAAGGTCCGCAAAGGCACTTGTGTGATACATTGCGTACCGCGAAGCCCCGCGAAGCCACTTCGCGTAGCACGGCAATATTGACACAGGCGAAGCCACTTCGTGGTTTGAGTGTGTTGCGTGCTTTGATGGCAAGTATGTTGTGCGCTTTCATGGCAGTAGTATTCCAAAGGTTGATGTTTAGAGTCAGCAGGCTACGACAAGATTACAGGAAGATTACGGGAAGACGACCGGAAGAGCACTGTGCGTTTCAGGCCCGGTTTTGCTAGAAACGATGGAACGTTTTCGCGAAGCCTCTGCGAAGCCCCCGCGAAGCCCCCGCGAAGCCACCGCGAAGCCACTGCGGTCCAACTTCCATGCTCCGCCCCTTTGAGTCCCAGCCATGTCCCCTAGTCCTGAAGCTCAATGCCTCTCCTGCCGCCTTTCATCTCCCCTTTCGCACTCGACTTGATTCAACAACATGGGGAGCACACACGTCAGAGATGTTTGTGGAACAAACATCCGCGAAGCCCGGCGAAGCCACTCCGCGAAGCCACAGTCTTGCCGTGAAGCCTCACGAAGCCAACCCTTCCACAAATTCTGGCCCGCGAAGCCACCCGCGTAGCCTCCCCAGCAGTGTATACGCCCTGAACCTCTAAAAAAACAATGCTCAATTGGGTTGGCTCATGTTCGAAGCCTCACCCTGAGTCTACCGACCAGCTCCCATGAGGAGGGTAATTGGATGTCTTGTTTGAGAGTCAGGCTGAGGATGAGGATGTGATGGTAGGGCCGTGATGCACATTTTGCTCGCGGATTGCAACCTTTAACTTCCGCGAAAGCTCTCGAGCATTTAATACTGGGAAGGTGGTTACTGCAACATGAGCACAACTACTTGTCATGGTGACGTTTCCACGCTTTGGTTGTGAGCGTGTCGGTCCCTGCTGCACTTCTGACACAGGACTGTGCTATGCGGAGATGGCGAACCTTGCACCTTCCACTGGCAGCTCATACTCGTTTGTCTATCATACGGCTGGCAGCTCGGTCCAACTTTGGGATTCATTAACGCTCTACACGGCAAGAATAAAACAATTCGCCTGCACGCTTAGCGCTGGCCAGAATTTGCTTGTGCGTTTGGGGTCAAAATCATTAGCTCGCGCCATGGATTTGCAAATAAGAAGTACCGGCTCATTGAACTGCAAAAGCAAGGCAGTTGTGATTTGTTGCCAGGCAGACGCCACGAATACACGTGGCTCGCACTTAACTGTGCAAGTCACAAGACCTTTCAATGAGCTTGTAGCGAGGGAATCACCTGCCTCCCGCGTCCTTGCACGGCTCTCTGACCATGTGTTCATTGCTGGAGGCCACGCGCTGACAGGCAGTATGATTTTGCTCGCTCGTGCTGGTCTTATGCTCCATACAGGTATAAGTTTAAGATACATGCGGAAACGCAGAAAAGTGAGATGTCCTAGAGTTCAGGTGTAGCTGAATGAAACTCCCCAGTTGCCTATCGATATCCAACACTGTATTTCAGAACATTGGATACACGTGCAGAATTGCATGATCGCAGCATTGCACTCGGGTGCAAGCACCCAAACCAAGCTCACCAGTCAGCAATCCTTGCACTTGAGACTGGCGGCTGACGGGCGCCTAAGCTGCCAAGTATATGGGTGTGCACCCTTGCAAAGCTATACCACAGGCCCACCAACATGCCCACGCGCAGAGAAACGCACAGAGAAAACTCGGGGCATTTTGCTCGACCAAGGAGAGCTGCCTGCCTGCATGGTTGGCATCATCAACATCGTAAACAACGTCCTCTCCGGCTCTGCTGTTGCGAGGGGCTGGGAAGGCCAGTTGGCATAGCGATGTTTGTGCGCGAATCCAGTTCACGTCGCTTGTTTTGCCAGAGATGGACCTGCCAGAAGTAAACGGGATCCCATGATGTTGCCTTTGGTCGTTGGACTAGATCAATAGAATTTAGGGACCTAAACTCCACATGCTTACCAGTTTTGTGTTTGCATTGATTTGCCGTTTGTATATTAGTATATCTTAGTTACAGCTGGGGAAGATAGTAATGAACAAGCAACAGCAAATTTTAATGAGATCATAGTTTTATATAGTTACAGTAGAGACATAGAAAGATATTCTGGGATGCAATGAGTTAGGGATGGCAGTGCCAGAAAGATTGCAACCCTGTCCTTTATTCCAACCCAAGTGTCGAAAGGCAACTCATCGCCTGTTGAGAAAGGCATGGAATGCCGCCAGTTGGCGGGGATTGCAAGTCCACTGGTGATAGCCAGTTCATTGTTGCCTTTCGTTTCTTTTCAACAAAAGCTGGGGAAGAGTTGAGTCTGGATACACCTTGCTGCGCATTACATGAATCAATTCGTATAGCCCATATTTGGTAGCGCCAACTCCAATCAGGACATGATATGGTTCAAATCCCAGGCTGTCAAACAAAAGCTGCAGTTTTCGCCAGGCTATCTGCGGCTATTGCTGGTGTCCTGCGGCCTGGAACCCCCTGCCTTCATGAACGGCTTTGAGTTCGGCCCTTTCGAGGCGACTCGGGGACTTGCAGTTACAAATAAACCGTGGGACTGGGAAAATCAGCCACAAAACTGGTTGTTTTCAGGTCAGTGCTTGTATCAGCACAAGGCCATCACACATAAAGGTCATGGTGGTAACTAGTAATGTTGGAACTTGTTCTGGCAGTGTTGGGCTTGTGCCGTCTTTTGAGTCTGTTTGGGAATATGGGACGGTCAAAATGAGCTTGCGTGTGTGAATTCTACAGAGCTGTCCTGGTTGCAAGAGCCACTATGGTATTGAAGCATGGGAATTGTCACTTTACCAACTGAGAGGACATTTACACACACTATCATGAACATACTACATATGTATATATGTACGTGTATATATATATATATATATATACACATCCGCATGTACACATACATACAGTGCATATACACATGACAATATACACTATACACGCTACATACACTATATGCACAGTAGTCACTATACACACGATGTACGTTGCATACACTATATAACATACTACCACATATACACGATGCACACTATGTGCACTGCAGTGAATGTATATGCACTATATATATATGTACAGCTATAATATGTTTGACACTGGTACTTACATACATCCATGTATACATATGTGTATATGTATGTGTACGCATGTACACATATATATATATATGTATATATATATATATATACACACATATATATATATGTATGATCTTACATATCTACCTATGCACATGTACATATACACATAAATAGCTATACACATATACGCATACACAAATAGCCAAATACACATACACATATAGCATTCACACGTATCCGTACATACATATAAGCACACACACATATGCAGATGTATGTTTATATACACATACACTTGCACATCTAACATTATACAATTATGTATTTACGCGATACACAGTTCATGTATATATATATATACACACGTAATATCTATGAACACGTACAATCACACATGCATGCATATATATACATATGTATATAAGGTCATAATACACACATACAAACATACATGCATGCATGCATATGGACAGACAGACAGCCAGACAGCCAGCCAGACAGACAGACACAAACAGACACAGACAGACAGACAGACAGACAGACACAGACAGACAGACAGACAGACAGACAGACAGACAGACAGAAACAGACAGGCAGGCAGGCAGACAGACAGACAGAGAGACAGGAAGAGAGACAGGAAGAGAGACAGAAAGAGAGACAGAAAGAGAGACAGAAAGAGAGACAGAGAGACAGACAGACAGCCAGACAGGCAGGCAGGCAGGCAGGCAGACAGACACACATACACATACACATACACCTAAGTATGCATATACATATACATACACATATACATATACATACACGTATACATACGCATGCACATGCACGTACACCTACAGATATGAATACACATGCGTGCATATATATATATATACAAATGCATGCATACATGCAGACATGACCTTGCGAGATCTCCTTCCTGGCGCCGCTCTTGCTTGCCTTCGTCATCATGATCAATCTCTTTGGTACGCTGGCTGTCTCCACCTTCAACAACATTGTGACCATGGGCTCACTCGTCATGCTCATCACGTACGTCATCGGGGGCGCGTTTCACGTGGCTGGCCTGTGAGCCTGAAATTGCCGTGTCGTAAGTCCAATTGTTTTCTTGGGCATCGCCCTTCCTTTTAGTTCGTTAGTAGATGGATTATATTTCTGCTAAGGCCTTTTGGTTGTGATTTGTGTTGCGCGCTTCTCAAAACGATCAATTGAGCGGAGCACCGGATCTGTTACCGTTGTTCTATTGGCAGACGATTCGAAGCCTTCCTTGTTTCGCTGGCCTTGTGCATTTGGCCAACAGGTGGGCAAACACCACAACTGCATTTCCTCATGAGTCAGATGTGTGCTCCCACTTTCGGGGCGTCAAAGTGCTGTTATGGCGATAGGGTGCTTACTTTCTTGGAAGGGCAGTTGGCAGACATGAGAGCGTCGCATTTAACCTTCAGGCGGCCACTGCCAAGGAAAGGCAGTCCTAGACTTGCACACTGAGGTTTGGGTGTGCTACTTTCAGAGCGCATCACACACCCACACCAACATAGGCAACTTTAGTGCGTGGCAAACAAACACACTTGATGCGAGAGGAAAGCAACCACGAGACGATTTGCTGAGCGAATGGAAAGGAGCACATGGACACAAGCGCAGCGCAAGCACGCTTTGATGTTTCGGCGGCTCACATTGAGTAATTAAACATCCCATCCGCAAATTTCCGCCGATGATTGGATAGCTTCCTGCGGGCTTTTGCTTTCGGGAGGGCCTGGCAAAGAGGTGTTTTTGAACATCTTTCAACACAGTCTTGTATGGTTGTTGCACGACTTGAACAGTAGGAGTCTGTTGACGGTGTGTTGTTCAAGGCACAGGAAAAGAGGTTCCTGATATTTCATACAGCATTGTGGGGCGCTAAATGTGTTCCACTCCACACGCAGGGACAGCTCGAGACGCCTGGTAATTTTTTGTCCATTTCAGCTGTCACAGCACCTTCCCGGCGCTGCGTTCTGCGTTCTCATGGCAAGTTGCGTGGAAGAAGGTAGCAGTGGAGTCGTATTGAAGCCGGAGAACGAAGTTTCAGGTCCAACCGGAGAACTGGGATCCATATCTGCCCACCGGCATATCGGGAGTCGCACAGGCAGCAGGCGGGGTCTTTCGGTGCTGGGCATTTGCGGGGTCTTGGTGCTCCAATTAGCAGACAGGGCATGCAGCACTGCGCGGTGAGATGCTTGATGAGTTGTCCTTGCAATCCATTGATCAGGATAGGCAGGAGACCCTGGCTGCGCAAGGCGAGTACTACCCATTTGATGCAAAATTGAATCGGGGCGATGAAGGCCCTTTACCCCCCATGATCTTGACAGAGATTGTTTTAGACACCAACTGCCTGATCAACATTGTACCCATGTCCGCACCAGGTTCTGTCTTCTTTTCCTACATTGGCTTCGATGTGCTTGCGACCTTGGGCACAGAGACCACCAGTCCACGGGTGATTCCTTGCGGCATCGTGCTGACACTCTTGATCACCACCGTGCTCTACTGCAGCACCCTAGCTTGGGAAGACGCGAATGTTCACACTCATGGCTTAAGCTGTGGGTGCTTGTCGATTCACTTTGTTTTATGTTTGTTGCTTCTGCTTGTTCGAGAACTCTTGATTTGGGTGTATTGTCACATCTCAGTGCTCGGGAAGCCAGTGCTTTTTATGCCTGTCGCAGCCAACTTCTTCGCAAGGTAGAAGATTGAACTGTAAAATGTGCTGAGAGAATCTGGCGAGGTGTCGGCATGGTCTTTACGGGCCTGATCAAGCGCCAAGGCTGCAAAAGGTGGACCAGGTGTCCGGGGGAGCTGTGAGAGAATCGGTCCATGCGATACACGCAAAGATCTTTGGCTTAGCAAGCACAGTGTATACTGATGCAAAGTTCCCATCAAACTAGATTATTGGTAAGTAACAACATTCAAGAGATTGCCCTCAGAGTTTGTTCACGTTGTGATGCCGAGCGAGCCCTTGATACTGCCAACCGAAAACGGTACAGCTGAGTTGTGATTTACTTTGTTGTACTACTATTTTGTTCTTCTCCATGAGCACCAGCTTAAAGACCTTGTCCCTGCTACCGCCGTCATGTCAGGACCTCATAATCCACCTGCAACAATCAAGACATTAAGACAGAGACATTGCTAATGTTCCCTTGAGTGTGCTTTACTGATTGGGCAATGTCTTTGCACCGCTTCGGCGTGCTTGTACAAGCGAACAGGCATGTTTGCGCATCAGTGGCCCCTGAAACTTCAATATCAGGATAATTCCACAGTCATCATAGTCGTCCTTTGCACTCGTTCCAGCAAACTTTTGTATGTTGGTAAACGTGCGCATCATGTACTGTCGCGCCATCAAAACTTTTGCAAAGGCGGCTGTCATTTTGGCTTACGCTGAGGTGCCGCAAAAAGTAAAGCATGTATTTGTTGTGGGCATTGTCCCTTAAAACATAGTGGGCACACAAGAACTTACAGTACTTGAAGTGAATGGAAACCGCATGATGAAATTCCTTCTAAGACCCAGGACCTTTTGACTTTGGCATCTTGCTCACCTCCCACAGAATCTTCAGAAGCTGCAAAACGCGTCTGTCTCAAGAGCAGATATGCCGGCTTTTTGCTGGTTTTAACCAGCAGCTCCCTTTGGATAGGGTTCATTGGATCGGGGCGCATGCACTTGCGAGGTACACGGACATCAGCTCCAAAGCTCCCCTAGCGAGTGCAGCGGAGTCGCGTGACCTCCATATCCTTGCAGTGATGGTGGCAGTGGGCGCCGTTGGGAACACCCTTACCACGGCGGGAGGGGTGGTGGCGAGAGGGCCAGGCTTGGCTGTACAGTTCGTTGGGTCAACATGTTGTACCTCGTTCGGGACCGGTCCTAGAGTGAACCAATGTAGAACCAAATACGTGGAAGGGATCTCTACTTTTGATACATTGCCATTCAGGTTTGTTGCACTTAGCTCCTCAGAGTCCAGGATGCCATGGTCAAAATGTACCGGATATCATCCTGTACCGACAAGAGTTGAAAGCCACATCATTGAAGCACCGGGTGCTGCAGCACAGCAAAGAGAATCAGCCTTGAGTTGGGACTGCCCTTTCAACAAATATGGAATCTAGCAGGAGGGATGTGCAAGATGTCTGTTTTCAAGACACACCAGTCAATCGTTGGTTTTCCTTTGTTTGGTTTCCATTGCTGTCTCAACATCTTCATTTTGAGACATCTCCAGGTTGTACATGGTTTGCACTGCGATCATTTTTGTTCAGACCACACTTGTCGGATCAATGTATGGCTTTCTGGGTAGATTACCCTTTGGTATTTTCAAAAGTCCCGGAAAGGCTTCGGCCAATGCACTTTCCTGGCGACTGGAATCACTCAGCAGGTCATCGGCTGTGTGCTGGCACAGCCCAGGCTGTGCTTTGCAATG